GAATATGTGTCGACGCAGTGCCATGGCTTGATAACCAGTTGGCTATCACATCATCGTTCGCCCGGAGTTTTGTGTTACATTTATTTATCACGTTTAAATTTAAAATTATAGCAAATAGAAATCTAAAAGCAATCTTATTCTTATATAGCATATGCTTTAAAAAGAAATCATAAAAAATTTTTTAATATTATGAAAAGATCTCATTATCGGAACTATTCTAAGGGCATTCAGCTAACTTGTAAGGGTATTCAGCTAATTCCCCCTGGTCATCATAATAAGAGTGCGAAATATTATAATAACGAAGAAGAACACCTAATGCTAATACTTCATTCACACTCCAGTCCCGTGCATCAATTTCAATATCCTTGTCGTGACCATGCAATTTTTTTGATGCAGTGTGATAGAGACCACCCATACATCTTTCGACATCTTTGTATTGAGAATTATTAAGTGAGCATGTTTGCTTTAAATATGATATAAACTTTGCATCTTGAGTCAGCCTCGTCAAAACATTGTCTGTAGGTTCGCGAAACGAGATAGTTTTGTCCTGTGACCGAATCTATCGAGAGAAAAAATATGTAAACAAAATATGATAAAAATCATTGCAAAATACATAAACAAATATACAGAATGCTACCGTTGATCGGATGAACTCTAAAGCACCTCTCACATTACACATCCTTTTTGATCGTAAAAGAAGTTCAGTGCGGTGTTTGACATCATTCTCAAGATTCGTAATATGTTTTGATAGTTCCACTTTTTCCTGCATTAAATCCAATTTTTCGCGTTCTTTTTTTTCCATTAAATCTTTCGTTAAATCCAATTTTTCACGCTCTTTTTTTTCCATTAAATCTTTCGTTAAATCCAATTTTTCACGCTCTTTTTTTTCCATTAAATCCACTTTTTCCTGCATTAAATCCTTCGTTATATCCACAGCGAAATTCATGATTTTCGATGCAACTTTTGAATCTTTGGGTAATTCGGCAAGAATTGGTGAAAAGTCATACTCATGTCTGTTAATGAGAGAGGATGATAATCTACGTTGTGGCCACAAGGGACGATAGAACTGCATCTAATAAATAACGTTTTAAGTGTTTGTTCGAATGAAATAGAAAATGTATAAGGTGTCTCATTTACTTACCAGAGGCCTTAGCAATCTTAAGCGTGAAAACATTTTAATAAATTTGCGAGAAATTTTTTATTTGTATAGAAATTTGGTCAAAGATCAACGGTGCGAATAGTGGTATGCTCCTTTATATTCTATCAATAGTAAAATTTAACCAATCAGCGTAACTCTGTGAAAAAAAAAGTCACGTTTCAGCCATATGTGACGTCTCGTATACCGTGATTTAGGTTATGACGATGACCTCATCGGGGTTTAAACTTTTTAAAATTTTAAATTCGTTAGCGAATTACTGTATAATGTATAATGACCTATAGATGTATTGCGCATTCGCGAATTTAGCCACACACGAGGTTGAGTCATATATCGATAATTATGTGCCATGACCTGCGGATCGGTTGGCCTTATCGCGAGTTTGACAGGTCGAATGCGTTTTATACGTCATTTGATATTGTATACCAGTTTAGCAATCCCGATTGATTTCCGTTGTAAGAGAATTCCTGAGACGCACCTAGAAAATGTGTATCAGGTTGGGATCGGATGATCGATCGTAAAGATAGGTCGGAATGATAAGAACATTCGGAACTGGAAACCAAAATTACGTATTTGCATTATCATGTTAATATTACATAAAGGATATTGTTATTAGCGTTAGCATAATATTTTCTTCCTGAAAAAAAATAGAGATGCAAAACTTGTTATAAACACGTTTTTAATATTGTGAACAAGCTGTTATTCCGTTAATTACAAGAAACCATCAAACTAAAACTAAATAAGCTTTGAAAATATCGAACCTATCTATACCGCTTCGCAAATATTTCCGTTAGCTTATCAGTATCAAGTTGAAAATTACAATGACTGTGAAAATAAGCAATGTTCAGCCATTTAAAGAAGATATTGAAATTGGGTTGTATTTTATTCATAATAATTCCAAATATATTTATAATTAAATAGCGATAAAGATCTAAATAAGCATATAATGCCTGTTGAAACGTTTTTTAAACATATCATTGGTGATATTAACTAACCTCTTAACAGCATGGAATATTTCGAAAAAGGATATGAAAATCTAAATATCTAACTATGGGCAAATTAATGCCTTATCTATTTTAACAAGATTCCTCATCACAGTTGAAGTAGGTCAAAATTAAAGCTCAGCCGCATCAACTTAAAAAAAATTCGTGTACAAAAAAAATATTAATCTAAGATGAAATATAATGCATAAAAGATTAATCTCAAAAAAGTACAGTCAACTCGTTATAGAAAATTATTACAGTCTATTTTATTAAAAAACACATGGCACATTTTATATTGAACTATTATTAAATTCCAAAATTTTGAGTTCATTCGACTGCACATAATTTATTAAAGAACGAACGTCACAAAAAAAAAAACAAACCAAATGGTTAAACAGAAATAAACTAAAGCCAAATGATTAAATAGAAATAAATAGAGTTATATTTTTAGAATGTCAAAATTCAATATTATTTTTATTTATTGTGTATACATTGTAAATTGCATTAAATATTGCTTTATATGATAGTTATTTAATTGAAAAATAAAGTCTTGTCGTAAATAATCGAAGACTTAATTTCTGGATCATAATCCGGACTATCATCCGAACGATCATCCGATCCAAACCCGGTACACATTTTCTGAGTGCTCCTGAGACAGGTTATGACGTGCTAGCCAGCTATCTTTGTGTTCTTTTTAGGGGACCGAATTCGATAACATTTATTGTGTGCTAAATAGAGACAGTGGAGGCAAAAAAATATACCAACGATGTTTCAATCATGTGGAGGCAAATAGCCAGAATCTAGTTTGTTATATACATGCTAAGTACAGTATATCATGTAAATGCTATCGATAATTCTATCATGTATATGCTATCAGGCTATGCTATCAAACATGTATGCGATATATGTACTCACCTATTACAAAGTGTACCAGATAATTGCTATCGTCTAACACTGTCAAATTGGATTCGTCGCGTTCTAATAAAAAATCCGTCCTGATTTCATCCTAGTAAAAAAAAGTTAACTGGGATGGATTCGATATAGGAAAAAGATGTAAAATCCCTTTTTATATTGTTCTTTTATATTTATTATATATTCATTCTAGTTGTTCTAGTAAAAAGTAATAATTTAGAAAAAATAAAATTTATCTACCCATGATATATTTATGCTATACATATGATATATATACACTAAAAACTGGAAACCAGTATAAGTCTAGAGCATAAGTATTATATATTTCTACAAATAAATTATTTTTTTAAAAAAATTCAAATAAAAAATAATATTTTTTAATTAATTTATATATTCTATATAGTAAAGTCAAAATTTTACTAAGTAAATTGATTATGCCTATTAAGTAAAAATTGTTCAGAAGATCAAATTATATATATTCTAAAATTTTTATATAATTATGATAATTTTTATTATTTGATATTTATTTTTTATTGTTACTAAATAAAAATTTATAATCGATTTTTTTAATATAAATTTTTTTTTTTTTTTTCGGTGTTAAGGTGAGGTCTTGCCTCGTATCTTTTATTAGATGTTAAATTTTTGCCTTATATAGCTACAAATAATCTTAAGAATACTGGCTTAGACAATTTTA